CCCCAAAACCCCAAAACCCCAAAACCCCAAAACCCCAAATAAAATATCTTGCCGACTCCTAACCTAAAATAAAAATGGGAACCAGTCCTATTAGTGCAAGTAAGTGATTGGGAAGGAGGTGTGGAGGGAGAGTGGAGTGAGGAGGGGAGGGAGGAGGGGAGGAAGGGAGGAGAGGAAAGAGGAAAGGGGAAGGGGAAGGGGAAGAGAAGAGGGAGTTTTAGGTGTTTTATGGAAGTGGTGGGATGGTTTTTGTGGGGAGAAATGTTGATGATGTGGGCTGGGTGGTTAGAGTTTTGAGGGGGTTAAGGAGAGATATTTTGTTAACAACTGAGGAAGTTTATTAAAGAATGTTTTTGAAAGTTCTAAAACTCACCAATAATTTCATGATGGTTGCAAAATTATCTCAATTATTTATCTTTGATCTAATTCAGCATATGCATCATAATCGACTACCAAAAAGTGTGAATCATCATGAACACTTACAAAACCCATGCTTCTAAAATCACTCTAACACTAAACCTCGTCTTCCTTTATCCTATCATTCTTAACCTCGCCATAGAACCAAACGACTCTGATAGCGATGACACAAAAATCTTCTACAGACCAGGAATAATCTCACTCAAAAAGCAAAGCTTCCGCTCCGAAAATTTCCCCCTAAGAAGCTTCTCTTCCCTCTCCCCTGCTCGCTCCGACAGGTACACTCCCTCTCCCAACCCTAGACGTCCCATATGCAACACTCAAAAGCCCCAATACTCAAAGTAAGCTATCCCATAACTCTTCAGCCCCATTCTTGTCAAATAAAGTTGATCTTGACAACCTCAAGCAAGAGTTTGATACCCAAAATTCCCAAAGGAAGGAACAGAGATTAAGGGATTTTGAAGATGAGGCTAGAAGACTGAGGAGGGACTTTGAAATGGAGGTGAGAGAGGAGCAGAAGAGGGAGAAGGGGAAGTTGGATGAGACAGAGGTCTATGCAAGAGAGTTGTATTGGGAAGAGGGTGGGAGGGGATTGGAGGGAGAGCAGGAAAAGCCGAGGTTTGAGGAGTTTAGAAGGTTAAGAAAAGAGAGTTTTGAGAGAGGGGTAATTGAAAGGAGAGAAGGATTTGAGAAAGAACAGAGAAAGAGGAGAGAAGAGTTTGAGATTAAAGAAGACAAATTGGAAAGAGAACAGAGAGAAAAATGGGAGGAGATTGTGAGAAAAGAGAATCAAATGATTGGACCAAAGGTTGGGTGTAATTTTAATTCAATATACCCAAAAATAAATCACACTTATCCACTCTACCAATCCATCGAAGTAGAGGCCAATGATACTCCAAATACTCCCCAAGAATCTAAAATCCCTAAATTAAGCCCTTTGCAGTCCCTCAAAATGCCACCATCAATGACTCACTCCTTCATCTCCTCCCCTTTGGAAGAGTCCAAAGACATAATCCTCCCAGAACCCATCTTAACCACCCCATCTGTAAGCCCAAATATTTAATCATTCTAATCTAATCTCTAATACAGACTGAAGAGATGCAAGTTCAGGATTTCATCAGAATTATCAAAGAGATGCAAGTGCTTAAACAAACGAAAGCACCCCAGCATAGAGATGAAGTAAGCACATTAGGATAATATATCAGGCCTCTGGGAAGAACCCTTATGAAGCAGAATTGAACATGAAGCTACTATATCAGAAAATTAAGAATGAAGAAACAGGGGAAATTGATAATGAGATAGTATCAAGAAAATGGCCGAATGCTGAGTAAGGAGGAAGAAGTGATGATTTAGAGCTCTAGAGAGGGATTATAATAAGTTTTTGAGCAACTGTGTAATGGGGATTTGTAAGCTGGAGGTAATTGTTTAGATGATGGGTTAGAGTGGAGAGAGGAAGATAGAGATATGGATCTTATCTTGGAAAAGATCAAAGAATTTATCATATCAAGAACCCAAATCTTAATTCATCTAAATGAAGAACCCCCATCTGATATGATATACTTTATTCAAGCACAAATAAAGGCCGGAAAATGCCCTCAAAGCTTGCTAGATTTCCTCATCAACAATGAACCAAAAAAATCAAATTCCGAACTTTGAAGTATCAACAACTCTTCTCATTCATCAATATAACTTCTGTTCCAATCTACAATACTATCTATGGGGTTTTGGGGTTTTGGGGTTTTGGGG